TGTAAAAGAATATTATGATAAAATTATTCTTAATATTGGGGAGAACTGTAACTTACTGAGGCATCTCATGTGTCCAGTCCATTCACCATAGAGGCAGGTTTTGTAAGGCTCTCCCTCCATAATGTAGTGACTCTGACACATGTATTCAATAATTTCATTATGGCTGTAATGCTCTTTTATGGCGGTCTTGGTGTCTCCATCCTCAAGAGTTGGAGGTATCCCACAGGGTGGAATTTCTGAAAATAAGTGAAGAGCCAAGATTGACAAAAAGATGATCACGTGGCGCAGCTGTGATACTTTCAGGAACGTTGGTATGCTGGCTTTTGAGGAAATGCTGTTCAATTATGTTTTTTCCTTCAATGAAAAATGCCTCAAAACCTTAGAAAGAAACATGTAGCTGTATTTGTTTTCCTGAATAACTAATATTATTTTCTCATATTTATTCTATATATCGTTTACTGAAGGACATGAATAATTAAGTAAATGTCTAAAACATGCATTTGCTAATAATAAACATTAAAAGTTTTCTTAACCATTCATTAATTTACTTAAGAAACTGTTCCCTTAATCACAAGTAGCAGATCTGAGTTTTTTTTCTTTTTGACATTTTTCAGGGAATTGAATTCATATGATGCTATAATAAGTGAATTCATTTGAAATTGAACACAGTTTCACAAATTTAGTATTTGTATCCATTCTTGCCGGGGGAGCTAGATGATTTTTGTGGGGGTGGCCAGCCTGAAAATACGATTTACACATGATTTTAAATTCAAAATCCAGAAACTCACAATTCACTTACTGTTCTGTACTACTACAAAACACTGTGGCTACAACACGCAACTCAATGATGTGGTCGTACATGCTACTTGCAAACTGTAATAGTAGTAAAAGAAAAAGCCAATTTTCGCCTCTTGTATCCTCGATCTTGTTCTTTCAGTCACAACCCACAGCTTGTGACCATAGGTGAGGGTAGGGACGTAGATCAACTGGTAAATCAAGAGCTTCTCTTTTACACTCAGATCTCTCTTGAACAAGATGGACCAGTATACCGCATCACCAATCCATTTGTGGATCTCCTGCTCTCTTCTCCCCTCAGTTGTGAACAAGACCCCGAGATACTTAAACTCCGAGAAACACTTGGGGCAGGAACTCATCCCTGACCTGGAGTGGGTACTCCACCCTTTTCCAGCTGAGGACCATAGCGTCAGATCTGGAGGTGGTGATTCTCATTCCCACCGCTTCACAGTCAGCTCCGAACTGTTCCAGTGCAAACTGGAGGCTTGCCTAGATTATTTTGTGCACTGGAATTTAATAGTACAATTTTAAATAGTATATTACTAATAGTAAGAAAGTAAGTAAGTAAAATTTATTCATGTAGCACTTTTCACAGATAAAAATCACAGTGCTTTACAACACAGGAAATGGAAATATAAAAACAATATAACAGTAAATAAAACAATGTAAAACAATAAAACTATAAAAACAGCATAAGAAGAAATTAATCAAATG